TTAGAAGTGTTAATGGTGTTAAACTTGGCCTTTGTCTTATGCGTTTCACTCCTCGGTTTTCTCTTCACTTTACCACCTGAGAGGATATTAAAAGGCGACCAGTATTTCAGTTCAGATGAAGCCAGATTTTGTCAAGACAAGGTTGATGTATTTCTTTTTGCACTCCTCGCTGAAGTGTGATTAGATCTGTGTTTTCATTCTTCCCTGGTTCAGATGTTGCAGATGATTAGAAATGCTTTGCAAAACAAAGTCCACTGCAATTTATACACGAGGTTTCCTGCAGGTAATTTTGATATGCTTGTCATTCATACCTCTGTTAAAAGTTCACTTACGAGCTTGTCTGGGAAATTGGCATTCATATTTGGAGGTTCAGCCCTCTTGTGTTTTTAATAGTGACTCAGTGTATGTAGTCACTGAATTACAGAATGTCTCCCTTGGAAGTTGAAGCCCATTAAAGTGATAGATTGCACTGTGTCGTAGTTTATGCTTAGGGACAGTTTACACCCACAAAGCAGTCTAATTGCATTCATTCCGGTGAAAAATCCACAAACGTTGAATCTGGGCTCTCAGGCGAGTTGGCAGCAGTCTACCTGACATCAGAAGACTGCCTTTGAGGGAGAAGAACGAAAATGTAAATTCTGACAATGAAAAGACAGGGTCTATATCATCTGAAGTCAGTGGACAGGCCTACCATGCATAATTTCAAAGATGGCACAAAGCCGGTACAAGCAAGCGATGGATGGGTTCATTTCTTCTCTAAAGCTTGTTGATCTGCACACTCCTCCCCGTCACATCTTGTTAAAATGAATGACAATCAGTGCATCATTTCAGCCTCTGAGACAACGTCTCTACCTCCCATTTCAAGCTCCAAACATCTGACGAACATCACGTTTGCCTCTTACGCTGCGTGTCATTTTCTGGCACCGCAAAATATTCCTTTGAGAACGTATGAATAGCAATTAAGACATTTTCAAATGAGGAGACTTTGGCACAGCAGTTCTTTCTCTGCCTCTTCCCTCTCTTGCCATATCACTTCTGACATTTTTGACAGCAATTACTTTCTGTTTTTGGTTTTTTTTTCATATAAAGGCCTACACAGTATATAAATCATATACACCGTATTGTTGGGTTTTTTGTTTTTTTGTATTTTCTGTTTGCCTTGAGCTTCCATCGTATAGATAACCCCCAAGTTTTTTGTTGTTGTTGTTGAAGAGTTGTATTATTTGTTGTAGGGACAAAATGTAATATTCAAATGGAGGAAAAAAAATGTATTTTGACACAGTCACTGCATAACTAACAAATATGCATCTTGCTGGTCCAATGCATAGTCCTAGATTATTAATCTCCTCAGCAGAAATATTAGTATTAGTGTTTCCTTCAAGTTCCATACCAGTCACAAAAAGAAAAAAAAATTGCTATTTTATTTATTTATTTAGTAGTAGTAGTAGTAGTAGTAGTAGTAGTATTTTATATATTTATTCATTTTTTGACATCAGTTCTTGAGTTTGACTTAACTACAAAACTGTCCTTGTATTTCAAAAGCTGCATAATGATTATTCCAAAATGTTTGTGTTCCTTGATAAAAAGAAGCAGCATGATGGTGAGTAAAGGATGACAATTTTCCTTTTTGGGTGAGCAGTTTGAATCCAAAGCATCTTAGTTGCTGTCCTTCAATTCATTTTGATCCATTCAGGGACTTTAAAATAGCTGCAGTCAGAACATCTGGATGACAGTAAATGTCTAGTGTTTTTTTGGATTATAATTGCCATAAAAGTAAGACTTGGCATGATTTGTGAGTACTAGCAGGGTATGGCATTTTTTTAACATATATATATATATATATATATATATATATGTATAATTTCTTCATATTTCATCAACCTGTCCTAATAATTATGCAGCATTATTATCTCAATTACTTGCCCTTGACCTAGTTGATGCAGGTTGACATTTATTGTTCATAACAGGGATAGAGAACTGGGCTTTAGATTTATTATTTTTTTATTACTTAAAGTAATGGGACTAGAAGTGCAACAGCACCATCTGCTGTAAACACACAAATTATGCATATACATCAAAATGTAAAGCCATGTTCTTCAGAGCCAGGTTCAGTCTTTTTCACTGTAAGTCATTGCAATGTCTGTTGCAACTTGTACTGGATGGAGTCCAGGCTGTCACGTTTAAATTGAATTCTTATTTGAGCTCTGCAATCAGTATGCAAAGTAATTTAATGGTCCGGGTGATATCGACAGGAGCGTAGATTACTTTTACGTAATGTCCAACAAAATCACACGAATGTGTGCTGAACATTTAGATCATTGTAAAGTTTTGTGATTTCAGAAAGCAATGAAAATATTCTAATTATGAATTCTCCAGTGCTAGTAAAACAGATGAAACGCAAAGTGCTGTGAGTGGATTTATTTATTTATTTCTGTACTTTCTTACCTTCATTCAGAGGTCTTGGCATTGATTTCTCAGTTCCAGCGTGGATGAAGCAGACACAGCTTTCCATGAGGCCATGGACTGGAGGTCAGGTAATTTCAGAAGGCTTTTCAGATATTGCCATTTCCAACATCTGGTGGGACTGAAGCAACACCTGCAGTCTTTTTGCCCTTTTGCACTCCCTCTCCTCCCGTCTTCTGATGTGCTGCAGCAATTGCGTTGCATTAATAATCAATTTTTATTCCCTTTGAAATGTTCAGTCTTTGTTTTGCTCTTGCTCTGTTGGAGAACAAAGACTATAATTGCAATCTATCCATTTTATCAGATACAATCTGGCTTTCGACATCACTCTGTCCTTTCGCATCACTTTCAACTTGTGACATTTCAGAATATCAACAAATAGCACATTAATTTTTTTAAAGGTTACACTGCAACAATTCAAGGTCTTTTTTTTCCTAGACTTGAACCTCCTAGGTCTCTGGGTCTGTTTGATTGAAGTGCTATTGCCTCTTTTCATTTCATATTGATTCAGTTATGTCCTTCATGTAGAATAATGATTCTCCCCATGTACTGGATTTATTGACTGTTGTAGTAATCTTGCTGTTATTGTTAGATTGTGACTTCTAATCCATAATGTTTAGCATAAACCAATTAGCCACGTTGATTTTATTGCCGATGACTAGTGATACTAAGTGACTTGATTTATTTTCAAATGGAATTAGTTATTAGTTTCATAGAGGTTGCAAGACATCTATAGCTGAGGCAATATGCATCCAGTGCTGTACAAGAGACAACCACAGGAGGCCACTGGTGTATTAAAAAAATTTAAATAAAAGGACTTGAAACAGCATACGCAGGACACACAGTGCCTATTCAGACGGTATACACCACAGAAATACTCCGAAAAGAGAATAACTTTTTATTTCTACGTTTCTTCAGCATGCCATATAAAACAATGAAAAATTCAATGAAAGCATTTTTGTATTACAAATGTGTCACACTAGTAAATTTATTCTTGATCAGCATGTTACATTCCAGTTAAGTCAAAACAGGTAATGAGGCTCTTCAATAAAACATTTTTTTTATGGCAGTCAAAAAACAAAACAGTTGAATGTCAGTACATCACAAAGCATGAATTTAGATAACAGCTTTAATGACTGATTTTGACATCATGGTTAAAAGTCCCTGTGAGATCAAAAGTCATCTATATGCTAGTGTAAATAAATGCTCTGATATACACTAGAGCTGCACGATTAATCATTATAATACCGCAACCCCCATTCACACACTCAGAGAGAGCAGTTGTCATGTATAGGTGTGAAACAGCTTCACAAAGTCTTTTCAACCAGACAGTATCATTATTTCTGTGTTAAAAACTTTCTAATTATCACAGAAGAACTTGTCTGAAAGTTTATAGTTGGGATATAAGCACTGATATCGTTTATAATAGAGTAAATCATATTTTCTAAGAAAGTAACTTGACACTGTAAATAGATTGTATCATTACATCGTTATGCCAGTAGGTGGCGACAAGTGACTGTTAAAAAATGTATTCAGCAGCATTGAATCATTCATTCAAGAGATTCATTCAAAAATGCCGATTCATCCAATAATAGAACAAGTGAAGACTTTGAATGAGTCACTGAATTATTCATTAAAACCAAATTTTTCAAAAAGAATTCAAAATATATTTTTTTTTAATAAACTGCAGCAATCAACTTTTTGTCAACACTACTTGTAAATTACATGTTATTTTGTTGTTGTTGTCTATTCAGAATCATGGGTGAATCTTGATCTCGGTTTTTAAATTAAAAAAAAATTTGTCCAGAATCGTGCAGCTCTATTATACACATTTTCAATTTTCATAGCTGTGACTAAACTAAAGCCTGTTGATATGAAAAAAGGAAGAGCCCTTTGATGTATCCGGCCCCAACTTCTGGTTCATATAATGCGTCAACACAAACTGTATCTGTCAGGTGATTTCACAGGGTCTTTAAAATATTTAATAATGGCATTCAAACATACTGAAGTAGCATGCCAGTACATTATGATAATAAATTACACAGGACCAGGGACTATGTACAATACAAATTACAAAACCTTTACATAAAGGTGAAATATCAATATGATATAATAGTATATTTTCTACTGTAAACCTTATTACCATTTTAATAATGACTTACCAATACGTGCTAATTACTTTGGTGTTTTTTTGTTTTGCTTTTTTCTACTTCGGAGACAGCTTCTTAAAGTAATTTCGACCTGACCCTAGTCCCAGACCAAAAAATTTATTTAGATGAGAATTGCATGAATGTGTGTCCACAAACATTTTGGGTAAACCAGAGTGTTTTGTTGCAAGCGTACAGCTGGAAGTATTCACAGTGGTCTTTTAAAATCATTTATCTAAGATCAAAATACATTTTCCACAAAATTGCACAAGTATGCTGCTGTCTTTAAAATTACATTTGATTTTCATATAGTTAAAAGATATAATGTAAAAAAATGTGATGAGGTTAACAAGATGTAAATATTAAAATTAAAAATTGTAACTCAAATTCTGACTGGATGCATTTTCAAAAGTATTCTTTTAATATAAAATGTCTCATATAATTAAGTAAAATCTTATAATAATACTTTTTTCCCTTTTATTCCAGTCTGTAATAATGCTGAAATATCTGAGCAAAAACAGACTAAACGGCACACGGCTGTCTAAATCTGTTGAGATGAATCCAGTTTTGACGATAGCTTTGATGAACGTTGTGTACTACGTGAAAAGAGCATTCCAAATGTTGACATCGCAGGCCTCTTCTTGAGGTCACAGTTCAGACTCTGAGCCTTCAAGGCAGTTTCACGACCACCACACATGCCCCCGCCCTCCCGATGTTTAGAGGGACCTCCTAGAATAACAAGAGACAGAGGTTAATGACCAGTGTCCAACCGCAGCAAATTCCCTCCTCCGCAGTGCTCTCTGTCACACTCTGTCTACTAACAGCCCATTGCAGGTAATCTTATGAAAGAGAGAGCAAGAGGGAGCCATGGGATGTGTAGACAGGAGGCAAACTAGACTTGAATAGAGCGTTTGTAACTCGGGCTGGCTAAGGAAAGAGTGGTTAACCTCATGGTGTTCAATGCCATTGTGACACAGTGGAAAACAGATGAATGGCAGGAAATGCTTGCACTTCCCGTTCACAGATGTACATCATCCAAGCATTCAAGGAACATTCATAAAGTCGACTTTGACATATTTAATGTTCTAGAACATTTCTAGGTGGTTATATGTAATTATGTTTTGTTGCCATGACATTATAACATCTAAAACCCTAAATTGACTATAAAAATGCAACTTTAAATATCAACTTTAATTATTCTGTTAACACTTCTGTGTTATTTCAGCTGTATTGTAAGTGTTTTTATAAAATTATAAGCTTCACACTTTTAAATCTTACAAAAAACTGGCCCCACTAAATTGCATTATAAGTGCCTCACAGTAACCTCAATTTTGAATATACCTTTGAAGCAGTGGTTCTAAACCACTAGACATCAGTCCTATAAAACTATTTTTTTTATGTTTTTAAAGTGTTGACATAATATAGTTATTTGTAGTTGTAGAATGTAGTAAATGTAGCTATATATTTAAGTAATACTACACAAGCAAGAGATTTTTGTTTTTTTATCTGATATACCAGCACGATTATCAGCACGGTTGGAAAAGTATATGGATTTGGTGAAATTCAATAAAAGAAGTTAATATTAAGTGAATTATATTTTAGACACAATATTAATGAAAATAGTTCCAAACAAATCCACAGCAGTGCTGTACATCTCAGAACAACACACAGTGGTGTTTGGTTCCAGAATGAATTCGCGTTTTGAACAAATAGGTTGAGCAAATGATTCAATTACCCATTCATAAAGTCATAAGTAATTCCTTAATGAATCAGTCCTTTTGAATGAATCAAATGATTCAATGATTTACTCATTTAATCACCAACTACTGTTTCATAATTAAAAAGATAATTAATTTTTCCCCCCTAATTATTTCATATTTCTATATTCAAAACTTTATATTTAAAATCAGAAAGAGCTTTATTTCCAAGTATGTTTGCACATACAATGAATTTGTTCTGGAGACAGAAGCTTCCAGTACACAGAGACAACAACAATACACAGATAATAATAAAATAAAGATATGCGGTAATAAAATTCACATATTTATATAAAAAAACAGAAAGACAAAATTTGTATGTACAGTTGTGGTATATGTAATATAATTTACAAGGAATGGAATGAGATGTAGGGTAGTATTAAGTAAACAAAAGTGGTATTATTTTTATTGAACAGTAGGGGAGAACATTTAACTGTTCATGAGGTAGATTGCCTGGGGGAAGAAACTTTTCTTGTGCCTGCCAGTCCTGGTGTTCGGTGCTCTGTAGCACTGGCCAAACGGTAAAAGTTCAAAAAGGAGATGGCTTGGATGTGAGGGATTTAGAGTGATTTTCTGAGCCCTTTTCCTCACCCTAGATATATACAGGTTTTGAAGGGTGGGCAGGGGAGCACCAATAATCCTCTCAGCAGTCCGAACTGTCCTCTGTAGTCTTCTGATATCTGATTTTGTAGCTGAGCCAAACCAGACAGTTATTAAAGTGCACAGGACAGACACAATGACGGCTGAGTAGAACTGTGTGAGCAGCTCCTGTGGCAGGTTGAACTTCCTCAGCGAAGGAAGTACAATCTCTGTTGGGCCTTTTAAACAATGGAGTCAATGTGACTGTCCCACTTCAGGTTCTGAGAGATGGTGGTGCCCAGGAATCTGAATGGCTCTGCAGCCACAGTGCTGTTCATGATGGTGAGTGGGGGGAGTGCAGGGGGGTTTCTCCTGAAGTCCACGATCCCATCTCTCTGTTTTGAGCGTGTTCAGCTCCAGGTTGTTAAGACTGCACCAGACAGCCAGCTGCTCAACCTTGCTTCTATATGCAGACTCATCACCGTCCTGGATGAGGCAGATGACTGTAGTGTCATCTGCAAACTTCAGGAGCTTTAAAGAGGGGTCAGTAGAGGTGCAGTCGTTGGCATAGAGCGAGAAGAGCAGTGGGGAGAGAACACATCCCTGGGGGGCGCCAGTGCTGATGGTGCGGCTGTTTGACATGAATTTCCCCAGTCTCACTAGCTGTTGCCTATCTGTCAGAAAGCTGGTGATCCATTGACAGATAGAGCTAGGAACAGAGAGCTGGGTTAGTTTGGTCTGGAGGAGTGCTGGGATGACTGAATTGAAAGCCGAACAGAAGTCCACAAACAGGATCCTCATATAAGTTCCTGGTTTGTCTAGATGTTGTAGGACATAATGCAGTCCCATGTTTACTGCATCATCCACAGACCTGTTTGCTCGATAAGGAAACTGCAGGGGATCCAGCAAGGGTCCAGTGATGTCCTTCAGATAGGCCAACACCAGTCTTCTCATGCGACTTCATGAACACAAATGTCAGGGCAACAGGTCTGTAGTCATTAAGTCATGTGATTTTGGGTTTCTTTGGGATGGAGATGATGGTGGAGCATTTGAAGCAGGCAGGGACTTCCCACAGCTCCAGTGATCTGTTGAAGATCTGTGAAAAGATGGAGGTCAGCAGGTCAGCACAGGTTTTCAGACAGGCTGGTGAAACACCGTCTGGGCCTGGGGCTTTCCTTCTCTTCTGTTTCCAGAAGACCTGACACACATCATCTTCACTGATCTGAAGTGCAGGAGGGGGAGAGGGGGGTTGCTGGAGGTGTTAAAGGTTGTGTAGAGAGATGGTCAGAGGGGAGTTTCAAATCTGCAGTAAAACTCATTCAGGTCTTCAGCAAGTCATTGATTCGCCTCAGTGCTGGGGGATGGCGTCTTGTGCTTTGTGATGTCTTTCAGGTCTTTCCACATTGAAGCAGGGTCGTTTGCTGAAAACTGGTTTTCCAGCTTTTTAGAGAAGCTCCTCTTATGGCTCGTTTCCACTGAGCGGTACGGTACAGTACAGTTCAGTACAGTACGCTTCGGAACGGGTAACCCTGATCCAGCTTGCGTTTCCACTGCCAATAGTACCCTTCTTGATAGGCGTGGTGTATGCCAGAAAGTAGCGATCAACGATAAAGCGCGACAATAAGCACAACTCTGCCTCTTTTTGTTAAATGTCAGTTTTAATGAACAGTAATAGCCATTATAAAAGTATAAGTACAAAGTATAAGAGGCTTATATAAGAGGAAATAAAGACAAAAGCAAGCAATTCAGTCAAACGTATGCTACAAAGTCAGTGCTGTACTACGGTAAAGTTCAAAATAAATATATAAAGTTAAACAACTTTGTGCTCAGCCAAAACGATATGACCAGGAATAAATAATAGATTCATGAGAATGCCTGTTAAATATAGCATACCCAAAACTAATAGTATCTTGTGTTTAATCACTACAGAGACATCAGAGCCAGCGGCAAATGTCAGAAGGACTAGCCGAGCTAAGGCTGCTCTATGCGGATACATGAGCACTGAGTGCCCGGTGATCGCCTGGAGCTCCGAAATTGGCATAGCAAATTTTCAAATAGGTGCTATCTACATCTGTACACCACCTTTCATTGATGTAAAAGCATGTCCCACCGCCACACGATTTCCCTGTTGATTCTGCGTTGCGATCCGCTTTGAACAGCTGGAAGCCCGGCTGACTTCATTCAGTCAGGTTTCCGTGAAACACAGAGCAGCAGAGTTTGAAAAGTCCTTATTTATTCTTTTAAAACATTAATCTCTTTATTTATACTATTTTAATTGCAGTGTGAATACATTCACACCACCTTGCTGTTTTAGAGCCACTTAATTATTAAAAAAATTATTTAATGCTTAAGATTATTTAAAATAAGACCAGACCCAATTTCTTATTTGAACTCACCCCCTCAACAGCTGTTTTTATTTATTTAATTTATTTATGTATTTTACTTTGAAGATCCAGGGTTCCCAATGTCTTACAAAAATCTGGATATATGAGTAAGCTCATTTTTAATTGTGTGATGTCTAGAAACGGAGTAAGTCATGTAAATGAATTAGTTCTGTCAAAATTTGCGCTTTCACGCATGTGATTAATTTTTTCAGTTTAACGCATAAAAAATATTTAATGCAATTAACGCGGGGCGGAGCTAGGGTTGGCCACCCCTCTCACAACTGCTGCTTCTGTCTCTTTTTTTCTGGACAAGAATTGCGTTTATTTAGACGCAGAACGTCTTTCAGACGCGCATTTTAACTTTACCTCGGCGCTAGTCAAACGAGCGCAGAAAAACTACAATTGATGAAAGAGTTTCAGTAGAACAACAGTGAACAGATGACAGATGAAATGTTGTCAGGCCATATGACAGTAAAAAACTATTTTCCTGTCCTGTCAGATGTTATGCTGTGCTAGTTGAGATTGAGATAGCTCTCAATTATACTGTAATGTTGAATGGCTATAGTCAAAGGTTAAATATTAGGGGGAAAAAAATATTTCATAGAGACATCAGTATCAGTGATACACGCCTTCAGTCATAAAAAAGATGCCATTAAACAAATATTAAAAAATATACTGTCTTTGTTGTCTCAGCGTTAATTTGAAGACTGAATGTGAAATTATTGCAATATAAAAGTATATTTAAAAACGTCAATGTTAGGTGGGATTAATCGTGATTAATTTCAGAAAAATGTGAGATTAGTTAGTTAAATTTTTTAATTGTTTGACAGCACTAAAATTAATCAAAACTCCATGGGCATTTTTATAACGAATATACATTTTTCAAGTAATGCCAAGCTCTAAAATATTTCATCAGGTAGAAATCACAAAAAAACTGGAAAAACCATGAGGCGTTTGAATATTGTTGTGGACAGTGGGGGCCCTTGAAGTCAAAAACCACTACTTGAAAGGCAGCCTGATTTGAAGAAAGACTCAATTCACCCACCTCAGTCCATTCATTGTTCTGTGCATCATAGGACTCGACACTGTTTAAGTAGGTCTGACCATCATATCCTCCGACCGCATATAACCTGTCTCCCAGCAGACACACCCCCACTGCATCCCGTGGGACGCTCAGAGAAGACACTGTGGTCCATGTGTCTGTTTTGGGGTCATACCTATAAATGCAGTACAGAACGTATGAGACACAGAACAACACAGTATAAACATGTGCTAGCACTTTCAATACAAGAGATAATTGCATAGAGAGGTTAAACAGCAGCCAGTCTGTAATCTAGATGATGGAAGCCTTTGAAAGCACAAGGACTATGATTAACATCCCTAACAATGAAATGCATTGTGCTTTCAGCATGCAGAGTAATAACAGAGTAATGAGTTGAAGTTTCTGACGGCCGTTGTTCATTAATTAGGATGTCTTTGTTTTCTTTAGGTACTTATTTCAGTTATTATTCATTTAGCCTTGCCCCGCCCCCCCCAAGTACTTACAGCTAGTTGGTAACATTTTACTGGGACATTTTTTTTGATAGAAATGAAAATACAGTAATATACAGGTATATTGCTTATAACTAACTTATTTTGAATTAAATTTTGCAAAGTTAATTCTTCATACTCATAGTTTACTTCACATTTAAATGTTTCTTGAGCAGCAAATCGGCATATTAGAATGATTTCTGAAAATCATGCGACACTGAAGACTGGAGTAATGATGCTGAAAATTCAGCATTTAAAAAATATATACATTTAAATAGAAGTCATTTTAAATTGTAATAATTCACAAATATTACTGTATTTTTGATCAATTAAATGCAGCCTTAGTGAGTTTTCAATTTTAATTACAAACTTTAGGCTGTATTTCAGATCATCACAAGCAGTCTATCACCACATTACGGAATTACTGTGGCTTCCTACAACATTCCTCAATGACAAGGTAACAGTGATTTCACAGTGGAGTAAAGTGTGTGCAAATTTGCAAATAAACATGCAAATTGTAGTACTTGGCACCCATAACTATGTGCCAAGACTCGCAGCCTGCTTTCTGTTGAGTGTTGTTGTTGATGTTATCATCAGGTGTTGGATTTTTCTTCCCAGATGCTGTGCCGTGGCAGCTTACCTCTCCACACAATCAGAGAGACGTGAACAATGGCTTGAAGCTGGTGCATCATGTCCTCCGACTGCATACAAGAAACTGTTATATGTGGCCACGCCCACTCCTCCCCTCCTCTTTGACATGGGTGCACACATACTCCATTTATTGGTGTGGGGATCAAAACATTCCATCGATCGCAGACAGGAGCTTCCATCACGACCGCCGACAGCAAACAACCTGTAAATACATAAAAGTTTTACTTGAAGTTGGCAAGAAATATTTCAGAATGAAACAGGATGTTCGAAGACTTGACTGTATACACTGGGGTAATTTTGATCATGAAAGTGGGCATGTGCCTTCGCTGGACCGACCTTAAAATATTGTGTGTGTATGTTTTAAGCCTTATTTTTAGCTAAAGTAGCAAAAGTTTATAATACAATTTCTGCAGATTTTATTGGTAATTTGAAATATGTTATAGAAACATTTTATTAAAACAATATTTTTTTGGAGATTTCCTATTAAACTACCTGTACTTGTATACCCATTATTTAGACAAAAAAAAAGCTGGCAAGGGCCATTGCCAGGATCGCTGCTGAGAGAACTATCTTTAGCCAGCCCTGAATGAGTTTACATTCAATTATAGAGCACTAATCTCCTCCTGCATGAGCACAGGCACCAGTGTCACAAATGAACTTTTTTGTTGAGAGGCATTATTTTCCCCCTGAAATTGAAATTGATAAAGTGGCATGAAATCCAAATTTACCTTAATGTGTGTTACTGGTCTTATTGTGAACAATTTATCTGTTCATTTTACTTATTTATGTATTGACTTGGGATCTTTAAGCAAAGTGTTATAACGTGCTCCTGTGATATGCTTACTTGACGTCTATGACATATGCAAGGCCATGCTGCAGTTAAGCAAAGTGCATTGAGATCCTGTATACACCACTCACATTTCAGCCAGTCAACAATTTATAAATAAAAGACCTGCTTTATTTTTTTTTCTTCTTGTTCATTTTTCTGTTTCACTTAAATATGTCACAATACAGTAGTAAAGTCAGTAACAACTTGTGTTTATAAAAATATATAAAACATATTTAAACACATTCACAATAAGACCAGTGACATGCATTTAATTGATTATTTTTGTATTATGTTGTGTTTAAACTACTCACTTTCCTTCCTGAAAAGAGAATTATACTGCTCAAATTAAATATTTGTGAAATGCCGTCTATTTTAACAGTGGGTTTGCAGACTCCTGGAGGTCCAAGAAGTATTGGAAATATATCAAATGTCTCAAAAATATTAAAAATGTGTTTCTAAAGATTATGGACAAAAGAAATAACTTCTATAATCTGATAGAAACGAGCATAATACAATAATGTTTGTCAATGGAAGAAATTTTACAGTGTTACCAAGAATTTTTAGGTCCTCAGATTTTGCTGAGAGTCTTGGCGAGGGGTCTCTGGGTCAGAAGCGTCTGAGCCTGACAACCCCTCTCCTACATAAATTCAAAAAGATACCTATGATATGTCCTGTTGAAAAGACTGATCAATTAATCACTTGGAGAAGTAGGACACTGGGCTCTAGAGGTAGCTTGAAGGGTTACAGAAATGCCCCATGAGTCATCAGTCAATGTTCAGCTAGATTCAAACCCAGCCTCCGTTTTCTTGGACAGAGCTAACAGCAGCTCGCCTGCCACTCATGTGACTTTAATGTAAAAGACACCAGAGGGTCTTTGGTCTCAGAGCCTAGTAACTCCCATCTGGCTGTACAGGGTTACGCTGTATATTGGATCCAGTACCTAATTCAGACCTCATCATGAGGAGAATCCATGGAGGAAAGCCAATCAGCCACAGCGCACTGCACATACTGCTGTTGATAGAAAAGTCTTTTCTTTTTCAAAAATTAAAAATAGGTTTTTCTTAAAGCTATATAGAAATGTAAGATCTTTACATATTGCAATAAAACAGATGTAATATAGTGCAGTATCCCTTTAACAAACCTAAAGTCTCCCTGCAGTCACTAATTTGGGGATTTTTAATAATGATACATATTTAAATTATTTTTCCTGTGAAAAAATTCCTTCATGGTTTAAAATGGCTTTAATGTAACTTTACACCCTTACCTCATATTCAACCATGAATATGCAAATGAATACCCACCTCCACTCAATCACACCAGACCTGCTCCACGATCACTCAGTTAACTGAAGTAGTAAACGCTACACAACAGGCAAGTGTGTGTATTACAACAGGCAGGGAAACGATGTGAGATCCACCAATCGGGGTGTTTCCCAAATCTCAAATTTTTTTAATGATTAAAGTTAATGGAGAGCATCTCGTGTTCCGAGTCCTCGACGCCTTTGAATTCAGCCATATATATTTTTGAACCAGAAACTGATTCCGAAGAAGAAGAGGAAGAGCAAATTTTATGGGGTAATCTACAAGTTGATGTATCAGAATGGTAATGCATTTTATACATCGCTCTCTAAAACTTTGGATACATCACTGTAATTGAAATCATTAACCTCTGGCTTGACTATGTTATCAAACTGCTAATAATTTGTGGCTAATGTTGCACAAATGTGACATGCTAGTGACATGAAAAGCTCCATCCCGCAGGTTGGCAGGATTGGGCACAGTACATGTCTGTGATGGTAGGAAGCGGGCTGTTTCAAACAGCATTTTTGAGACTGTCTTTGGTGAACTGCAATTTTAAGGAGAAAATGCTCAGTAATGGTGTTGACTGAATTTGCACATGGTTTGTCTTTAATCATATTAAAAACACCAGACAGACATGTAAACAACTTTGAAAACTTGATTTTCACAACAGGAGGTATTTAATTCTTGTAGATTGTTCAGTTATTTTGTAAAGAACAGCAGTTTTCTCCGTGAATTTTTTCTGGTGTGATTGAGTGGAGGCGGAGACTAATTTGCATATTCATAGTTATGCGCATACTAAATGAGGCAAGGATGTGGAGCGATTTTTCCACAATTAATTGCTTTGTGCCTCTATTGTACATTGCTTCGGATAACAGCGTCTACTAAATACATAAATGTAAATGTTTTACAATTGTATCATAACTCAACAATGCTACAAAAGAAAATAAGACAAAATTAATTCCTTACTTTCCATTGAGAGCAGTGACCCCGACTGTGCTGCGTGGTGTGGACATACTGGCCACATAATTCCACTGCCTCGCCTGGGGGTCCCACCTTTCTACTGTGTTCAAATAGCTCCATCCGTCATGGCCTCCCACTGCATACATGGGCCCCTCTAGCACAGCAATTCCTTTTCGAACAAATAAATGAATAAAACAAAAAGTAAGACTGGGCTCAGCCTTTGGTGGTGCACGCCATACATCAGACAAGCACACAATTCACTAGCAAGTGTCTGTCTTTGTCTTTGTGATGTAGTGAAACTGGCAAATGTCAAAATTTAAATGGTAATACCATGTAAGTTAATTTCAATGAACATCAAGAGCTTTTCCTTTTTAAGCAGATATCAGTAGCTAAAGACATTCTTCTGGTGCGACCCGAGCTCTAAGACGCTGTGGTAAGCATTAAGTATTCATGGTGCATCTCCCTGCTCCCTTTACAGCAAAGGTCTCTCGTGTTTCTGTTATAAATCTCTGGATGTCGCCTTTGGGGTCCTAACATATAAATCGTCTCTTGACCGACATTTTGGTTATGATATTGCAGTGCACTTTATAGGTCTCAATGAGCAACCTTTGAGTGTCAGTTTTATGGGATTATTGTACAGTGCATTTTCTCCTCTGAGTTTAAATTACCTGCCATATTTTTTATACATATTTTTATGTGCAGCCCAGATTGCCTTTGTTAATTTATAGACATTCGTTTTGATGTTTGACCATCCGGTTATTTTTATTGTTATTTCTTGAGGCACTGGTATTAAAGCCACACAATTTTTATTATGCCCCCACTGGTTTGCCTTTGGCGTGTTTATCGAAATAGATGCACAGCAATAAGTTTTCTCTTTGTTTTGTAATGAATTCAATTTTCTACTAAATTTAAGTCAGTTTATTTGGTTTTTACATTATTAACTGAAACTCCCTGTCCAAGCTTTGGAGCTTTGCTGGGAAAAGTAACATCACTATCAAGTTTTATTATTCGTCTTCTTCCTTTACGAATCACTTCCTTGTGCTAGTTTTGTCTTCGAAAACTGGACCAGAATGAAAAAAAAAAGATTATTAGTGTCAACATTATCAGCTTTTAAGTAAGGCACAAAATAACATATAATCTCCCTAATGCACCAAACTTTACACGCAAATTAAGTTTCACACTGTGATTGACTGCTTTTGATAAACTGAGACATTGTTAAATTTCCTCGGGCTGTAATCTGCAGGGGCGTCTTTTCTGTTCAGCTGCTTTTCAGTGTCTTGCGCCATGAACCGTTTCTAAGAGTGTCAAGAGTCGAAATATTTCAAAACGCCTGCAGAGACGTCTGTGATCTGTTCCATTCTGCTCCGTCTAGCTATTGTTGAACCAAAACACATCATGTGTGACCATCAATGAAACTGATATTGTATGTTGCGTGAATATTAATTGAGTCATGCAGACATGGCTTGGTAACCTAGAAAGTAAAGCCAATTAGACAAATAAATTAATAAATATTCATTCATGAACTATGCCCTCATAATAGTAGGATTTTTTCATCTTCACCAGCTGATTAGCAACATATTCCTTTCAGCTAATAAGTTAGATCTTCTAGGTGAACATGGCTTTGTTAATATTAATGAGCAAATCCTTATCAATTACAGCATACACACTGCCAATATAAATGTGAGGTAGTGCTTTTTAGAAAAGTCATGTTTTTGACCTCTATAATATCTTTTAATAACATTAACAAACCTAATGCTTAACAAATGATTTGTTAAAATACATTCAAAATATATCAAATGTAGACATCATGAATGTTTGATCAAGATCATTTCGAATGTATTCATATTTGAATGTTTATAAATTACTGATCTATTAATCTATGTAATTTAACTAGTAAGACTTTTAAAGTGTTCATGCATTGAGGGCTGGTGTTGTTTAATGCTGTAGATCAGATAATTACCAACTTCATACCATGTTTGTCACATTTATGCTATGACAGAAAGAAGCTAATTTAATTACTAAACATTACAGCATAACAATTATTCATATATGTTGAGTAATAAGATTACACAAACATCTGAAGCATTCATAAAACACACCTAATCCGTGTCTGTGGGTTGACATTGGCGGCATGGTGGACCACACTTTAGTGATTGGGTTGTAGCACTCCACCATGTTAGAGGTCTTGAGTCCATCCCTTCCTCCAACCACGTAGAGTTTGTTATCAATCACTGAAACCCCGAACTGAAGTCTTCGCCCATTCATGATACCAACTTGGATCCATCTGTTTGTGCGAAGGTCGTATTTCTCTATCGTTGTAGACCCTAAGAGTAGACAGAGACTCTAGAGTTTATTGTTAGTTAAAGAGTTGATTGCTGCTATGCTAATAGCTATTCTACTGTACAAAGTTTCTTTTTTTATGGCAGTAAGAGGTACTGCTATTAGAAAAGTATTAGAAAAAACGAAATAATGGTCCACCTTTAGAGGCATCCATGCCTCCAACAGCATAAAGCGATCCAACAGTGGATTTCCGTGGTTTGGTTCTTGGGCTCTGTAGCATGGGACGGCGTTCTGGCAAAAGATGGTACTTCATGGCTTCCATCAGGAGCTTCTGGCATTCCAGGTCTTCTGAAAACATCTTATTGTTTTCCAGATCAGCAAGAAGCTAAATTAAAAAAAAATTGTGCATTAACATCAACAGAAGAAGAATTTAAATATGAGGTCACCAGGAAGTTTTTTTATTGATTATATTAAATTGTAATAAAATTACCAATAGTCTCATATGAATGCTACTGGCAAACCTGTGGTGGTAAAAGGGGAAGTCGAATATACGCCAGCAACACTCCCAGATCCCGTTGTCGGTGCTGCACATCATAGCGAACCCACATCATCAGTGCTTGGAAAATCGTTTCTTCATCTGGAACGTTGATGTCATCGCTGGCCAAAAGCTTGACAATTTCAGTTGTGGGCAGCAAAAGGAACTCCTGATTCTGAATGACCTCTAGAAAGTGTTCCTGAAATATTAAGCAATTTTGTTTAGTTATATTATAAATCTTTGTGCAGCACTGTAAAGAGACATTAACAGTAAGTCCTAAAATTAATGTTAAAAGCCTAATTCTTTTTATATTTATATAAATATGTTATATTTTATTATGATAAATGTATAAATGTTTTCTTGCTGTATCCAATGAAGTAATTCAGTTGTTGCAAGTCAGAAACAACAAATGGTGCTAATAGACACGTACAGTATGCTGTAGAACTACCAAAAAAATCATGATCCTAACCTAAAGTGACAAAACATCCTCTTTTTCCCAGACATGTCCTGGTCACGATTTCTAAATTGCCTTTTTTGGGCTTTGTTTTCCTATTGTTTTCATACCTGGAGGTAATGACTGATAAGTATTTGATTAAGAAACCACAACTAGATCCTAGTGAACTGGCAAATTACAGACCCATTTCAAATCTTCTATTTATGTCTAAAATTTTAGAAAAAGTTGTGTCTGCTCAATTGTGCTCCTTCCTGCAAAAAATGATCTCTAAGTATTTTGACCAATAGCATGCAGCTATTGTACATAATCGAAAAAGAGGATGCATGGTCACCATATATAACCTTCATCTCCATACCAAAATTTTAGATGGCCAGACAGTGCTCCATCTTTTCTAAATTGTTAAAATATTGGTGAGCTGTGTCCCTAAAGACTGTAGTGCACACCAAAGCTTAGCTTAAGGCCCAATCCCAATTCTACCCCTTAGCCCTTCCCCTTTCCCCTACCCCTCCATTTCGCGCGTTCACGTGAAGGGGTAGGGGTGTC